GTTAGTTAGTAGTTAGTTAGTTAGTTAGTTAGTTAGTTAGTTAGTTAGTTAGTTAGTTAGTTAGTTAGTTAGTTAGTTAGTTAGTTAGTTAGTTAGTTAGTTAGTTAGTTAGTTAGTTAGTTAGTTAGTTAGTTAGTTAGTAGTTAGTTAGTTAGTTAGTTAGTTAGTTAGTTAGTAGTTAGTTAGTTAGTTAGTTAGTTAGTTAGTTAGTTAGTTAGTTAGTTAGTTAGTTAGTTAGTTAGTTAGTTAGTAGTTAGTTAGTTAGTTAGTTAGTTAGTTAGTTAGTTAGTTAGTTAGTTAGTTAGTTAGTTAGTTAGTTAGTTAGTTAGTTAGTTAGTTAGTTAGTTAGTTAGTTAGTTAGTTAGTTAGTTAGTTAGTTAGTTAGTTAGTTAGTTAGTTAGTTAGTTAGTTAGTTAGTTAGTTAGTTAGTTAGTTAGTTAGTTAGTTAGTTAGTTAGTTAGTTAGTTTAGTTAGTTAGTTAGTTAGTTAGTTAGTAGTTAGTAGTTAGTTAGTTAGTTAGTTAGTTAGTTAGTTAGTTAGTTAGTTAGTTAGTTAGTTAGTTAGTTAGTTAGTTAGTTAGTAGTTAGTTAGTTAGTTAGTTAGTTAGTTAGTAGTAGTTAGTTAGTTAGTTAGTTAGTTAGTTAGTTAGTTAGTTAGTAGTAGTTAGTTAGTTAGTTAGTTAGTTAGTTAGTTAGTTAGTTAGTTAGTTAGTTAGTTAGTTAGTTAGTTAGTTAGTTAGTTAGTTAGTTAGTTAGTTAGTTAGTTAGTTAGTTAGTTAGTTAGTTAGTTAGTTAGTTAGTTAGTAGTTAGTTAGTTAGTTAGTTAGTTAGTTAGTTAGTAGTTAGTTAGTTAGTTAGTTAGTTAGTTAGTTAGTAGTTAGTTAGTTAGTTAGTTAGTTAGTTAGTTAGTTAGTTAGTTAGTTAGTTAGTTAGTTAGTTAGTTAGTTAGTTAGTTAGTTAGTTAGTTAGTTAGTTAGTTAGTTAGTTAGTTAGTTAGTAGTTAGTAGTTAGTAGTTAGTTAGTTAGTTAGTTAGTTAGTTAGTTAGTTAGTTAGTTAGTTAGTTAGTTAGTTAGTTAGTTAGTTAGTTAGTTAGTTAGTTAGTTAGTTAGTTAGTTAGTTAGTTAGTTAGTTAGTTAGTTAGTTAGTTAGTTAGTTAGTTAGTTAGTTAGTTAGTTAGTTAGTTAGTTAGTTAGTTAGTTAGTTAGTTAGTTAGTTAGTTAGTTAGTTAGTTAGTTAGTTAGTTAGTTAGTTAGTTAGTTAGTTAGTTAGTTAGTAGTTAGTTAGTTAGTTAGTTAGTTAGTTAGTTAGTTAGTTAGTTAGTTAGTTAGTTAGTTAGTTAGTTAGTTAGTTAGTTAGTTAGTTAGTTAGTTAGTTAGTTAGTTAGTTAGTTAGTTAGTAGTTAGTTAGTTAGTAGTTAGTTAGTTAGTTAGTTAGTTAGTTAGTTAGTTAGTTAGTTAGTTAGTTAGTTAGTTAGTTAGTTAGTTAGTTAGTTAGTTAGTTAGTTAGTTAGTTAGTTAGTTAGTTAGTTAGTTAGTTAGTTAGTTAGTTAGTTAGTTAGTTAGTTAGTTAGTTAGTTAGTTAGTTAGTTAGTTAGTTAGTTAGTTAGTTAGTTAGTTAGTTAGTTAGTTAGTTAGTTAGTTAGTTAGTAGTTAGTAGTTAGTTAGTTAGTTAGTTAGTTAGTTAGTTAGTTAGTTAGTAGTTAGTTAGTTAGTTAGTTAGTTAGTTAGTTAGTTAGTTAGTTAGTTAGTTAGTTAGTTAGTTAGTTAGTTAGTTAGTTAGTTAGTTAGTTAGTTAGTTAGTTAGTTAGTTAGTTAGTTAGTTAGTTAGTTAGTTAGTTAGTTAGTTAGTTAGTTAGTTAGTAGTTAGTTAGTTAGTTAGTTAGTTAGTAGTTAGTTAGTTAGTAGTTAGTTAGTAGTTAGTTAGTTAGTTAGTTAGTTAGTTAGTTAGTTAGTAGTTAGTTAGTTAGTAGTTAGTAGTTAGTAGTTAGTAGTTAGTTAGTTAGTTAGTTAGTTAGTTAGTAGTTAGTTAGTTAGTTAGTTAGTAGTTAGTTAGTTAGTTAGTTAGTTAGTTATTAAGTAAGTTACTTGGCATAATGCACACCCCAATTTAATGGTGTAGGGTATGAAAAATCTAACAAAATGACGACATTACCAAACAAACGCAAACAAACACTTAAAGTAGCAACAACAAAAAAAATCTAATTAATTATTAAAAACTTAAACTTAAAAAGGAGGAATAAGTAATTGAAACAATGTCAAATTAACATCATGAAACAAAATCCAAATTATACACAACACAACAAAAAGTTTTCGAAATAAAAATAAAGAAATAAAAACAAACGTTCAAACACAAAAACAAAACACATTTTAAATGAAATAAAAAATAATGCTGATGACTACGTTTTTCGATGGAAACGGAAATGAAGATTAAGATATTTTATAACATAAGAAAAACAGAGAAAATGTTGTTGTGCCGTTTCATTATTTATTTAAATATTAATGATACTTTAGTAAAATTCTAAAGAAAAATGTGTTTAAATCTGATTAAAGTGAAGTGTTGATAAAAAATTAAATAAAAATAAAAGAAAATGCAAAAAAAGAAAGTAATTAATGAATTAACGCAAAGATTTTTAAAGGGAAATTATGTAATGGAAAAATAAATATTTAAATAAATAATTATTTAATAACAAAGAAATATGTAAATTAGAATAAATAAAAAGCCCTAAACCTTCTTTGAAATTGTAAGCATAAGTACTTTATTTGTAATATGATCGCCTTAAAGTATGCTGCAAATTTTGTGCATACAAATTTGTGCATTGAAATTTAATGTATTATGATATATACTCAAGAATTATATCATGTATATAATGTATTTTTATACCCTACACCACTTCAGTGGGGAGGGTATATTGGGTTTGTGCTGATGTTTGTAACGGACAATAATATAGGTCCTATACCCACCTTAAAGTATACCAATCGGCTCAGAATCATTTTCTGAGTCGATTTAGCTATGTCCGTCCGTCTGTCCGTCCGTCTGTCCGTCCGTCTGTCTGTCTGTCCGTCCGTCTGTCCGTCCGTCTGTCCGTCCGTCTCTCCGTCCGTCCGTCCGTCCATGTAAACCTTGTAATCAAACTATAGGTCGCAATTTTGAAGATAATTCAATGAAATTTGGTACATGATCTTCTATTGTCCCAGGGACGAAACCTATTGAAAATGGTTAAGATCGTTCCATTATTTCGCCTAGCCCCCATACAACTGAACCCCCCAATAGGGCTTGTAAGCCTTGTAATCAAACTACAGGTCGCAAATTTGGAGATAATTCAATGAAATTTGGGACATGATCTTTTATGGTACCGTAGACAAAGTCTATTGAAAATGGTTAACATCGGTCCATTATTTCACCTAGCCTCATACGACTGAACCCCCCGAATAGGGCTTTTAAACTTTGTAATCAAACTACAGGTCGCAATTTTGGAGATAATTCAATGAAATTTGGCACATGATCTTTTATGGTACCGTAAACGAAGCCTGTTGCAAATGGTTTACATCGGTCCATTATTTCACCTAGCCCCCATACAACTGAACCCGCCGAATAGGGCTTTTAAGTTCATAATTATGTTTAATATACTCATATCTCGACAAAAAGCTGCAAAAACCAAGTTCTATACAAGATTTGATGACCCTCACGAATTCCATAATAATAGGTCCTCATATGACCCTAGCCCCTATAAAAGCCCCCATCAAAATTTCACTTAAATGTCCACAATTTTATTCAACAATAAACGGCTTAAGTATGTATATCTGAGGCAAGGTACAATTCAATTTAAATGCTTTATTATGGCAAATAAATCACATTATATTTTTGTCAAAGGTGTAGGGTATTATAAGGTCGGCCTCGCCCGACTATAATTTCTTACTTGTTTTAATAATGCGGCATCTCGCTATTCGATATCTCGTAACGAAATTTCTCAAGTTTGGAGTTGATGTGTTTTAAAAGTTGATTTACGCTTGTTCGATTTCGTACGCGGATAGGGACCAGTTGTTGGTCCTTGGGTCTCACATTTATTTATTTCAATTGTCTTTTTGGGTTTGTGCTGATGGTTTGTAACGCACAATATTATTGCTCCTACACCTTAAAGTATACCAATTAGATTAGAATTATTTTCTGAATTGATTTAGCTATTTCCGTTCATCTGTCCGTCCATGTAAACCTTATAATCAAACTACAGGTCGCAATTTTGAAAATAATTTAAAGAAATTTCGTACATGATCTTCTAAGGAAGAGGCCTATTGCAAATTGGTCAGTTCGATCCACTATTTCACTTAGCCCCCATACCACTGAACCCCCGAATAGGGCTTGTAATCTTTGTAATCAAACTACAAGTCGCAATTTTGAAGATAATTCCTTGAAATTTGGTACATGGTCTTCCATTAGTCCAGGCACGATGGTTAAGATAGATGATAGTTGAGATAGGTCCATTATTTCAACTAGCCCCCATATAACACAACCTCTCAAATAAAGCTTTTGTGTTCATAATTACATATGTTCATATCTTGCCTGCTGCTTTTTAATGATCGTTCCTCATTTGATCCTGGCCCTCATATCTTCAGAACATGAGTTAAATGCCCACAAGTCGCTTAAGAAGGCTATTGTCGCAATGAAATTCGGGATAAACACATTTTATGTAAACATAGATCCATCCACCACATCGTATGAGGCGCTCCACATTTTCTCTTCTTATAAAAAACAAATCACATTTCACTCTCTTAACTGGTGTAGGGTCTGTCACGCCCAACTATAATTTGTTACTTATTCAGGTTTGTAATTGTATCATCGTCATTGCTTTGAGAAAACTCGACAGCAGTTGATAGAACTATTCAAAAAACTGAATGATATTGTAGATTTTTAGTCATATTCTATTAAATATTTGTTTGCCTTAAATTTCTAAATAAAAATTCAAACAAATATATAACATCCAACAAATACTTGACCTTCAACAGCAAAACCACAACTCAAAAGACAATCAGTGTAAATAATAATTAAAAATAAAAACATCTAAAAACTGCCATAATAGTGCTTAAAACCAAACAAATTTGCCATAAATTATAAATAGAACAAAGAAATTAGAACAAAATATAAAAACTTACAAAAAAAAAACAAACAAAAAACTAAATGCTGAAAAATGTTAAAAACTTCAATTAAAACGTTAAAATACTTAACATTGTTAATTGTGCTACTTATACAAATTCAAAGAAATTGCGCCAAAACAATCAACGAAAACAGCAACAACCACAACATCTACAACAACATTAAACGCAGTAGCAGCAGTAAAAACAATAACAACAGAGCACCACTTATACCCCTTCTACAACAATCCAATGATAGTAGTACAACAAAAATACAAACAAATGTTAAAAACTTTGAAAAAGCTCAGCCAAGTAATCAACCAAAAAATTCAACAACATTAACAGCAGCATGTAAACACACACACAATGGAACTGTGGTGAATTTCAATCGCTGTAAACAAGGTATTATCTCACTGTTAAAGTAGATTTAACAGCTGATTGTTTAAAAAGTTAAAATGTTAAGCAACAGGTTACGGGTGTGTGTATGTGAAAATCATTTAGGTACACAGTAAGGGAAATTTAATTAAAGGCACTTTAAAATTCTTGAATCGGGGGTCTAAAAGAATTTTGTCATTATGTGACCCATACTTTCTATACCTTAATTTAATTTTAAACTTACACAACCAATTCTTCACATTTCAGAATACTCCTCCACTAGCATGCGTCGTAAAAAACGCAGCGTTTTCCACGTACGCTGGAATCCCAATGAACGATTCATCGTAGAATCTCATGAAAATCCAGCCATTAATTCTTCCAAACTTGCACCGCATCCCCGTCTCAAAGTCTCCAAAACAACCAAACTCACATTGAACCCCAAACTGTATCTGTGTCATGACAAATACTCACAAATGTGCGAAAATAAAACGATGGTCTTTAAGGAACGCATATTACGTGCTTTCGATAAAGCCATGATGGAATCGTTGAATGAATCGAATTTTTATAATGTCGATTTTAAACCGGTATTTGGTGATAGTTTTGAGGAGCAATATTATCCCTCGACCTGTCTCGTCATGGAAGCTGGTGTACGTGTGCTGAAGCGTAAAGATCCACCCTTTAATAAACTACAATTTGGAAAGTTATTTCCAAAGCAGAAACTATTTCGTCAGAATAAGAATATTAAGACGTGTGCCATAGTGTCGAGTGCTGGTTCGATGTCGGGTTCGAAACTGGGAAGATTTATAGGTGAGTATGAGGAATGTTTTATTTAAGAAACAATTGGGACTTAGGGAGTTTTAGTTAAAAAGGCCTATCCAAAGAATTATACTAAATACCAAAAACTTGGTTGAAAGTTTTCAATTTGCTAACAGCGGACTTTTTGAATATTCTATATAGATATCTGAAGAGCCACAAATCAACCACAAATGTATAAAACTTTGATAAGAAAAACGTATGCGAAGATCGGACAAGGTTTCTAAATTTTATAATACGTAATGCCGCTAGTTCAGTTCTGTTTCAAATTCAGATCACCGTTAGTTGTAGTTCAGTTATAGTTCAGCTTTAGTTCAGTTCTAGTTCAGTTCTAGTTATAGTTCAGTTCTAGTTCAGTTCTAGTAGTTCTAGTTCAGTCTAGTTCAGTAGTTCTAGTCAGTTTCTAGTTCAGTCTAGTTCAGTTCTAGTTCAGTTCTAGTTCAGTTCTAGTTCAGTTCTAGTTCAGTTCTAGTTCAGTTCTAGTTCAGTTCTAGTTTCTAGTTCAGTTCTAGTTCAGTTCTAGTTCAGTTCTAGTTCAGTTCTAGTTCAGTTCTAGTTCAGTTCTAGTTCAGTTCTAGTTCTAGTTCAGTTCTAGTTCAGTTCTAGTTCAGTTCTAGTTCAGTTCTAGTTCAGTTCTAGTTCAGTTCTAGTTTCAGTTCTAGTTCAGTTCTAGTTCAGTTCTAGTTCAGTTCTAGTTCAGTTCTAGTTCAGTTCTAGTTCAGTTCTAGTTCAGTTCTAGTTCAGTTCTAGTTCAGTTCTAGTTCAGTTCTAGTTCAGTTCTAGTTCAGTTCTAGTTCAGTTCTAGTTCAGTTCTAGTTCAGTTCTAGTTCAGTTCTAGTTCAAGTTCTAGTTCAGTTCTAGTTCAGTTCTAGTTCTAGTTCAGTTCTAGTTCAGTTCTAGTTCAGTTCTAGTCCTAGTTCAGTTCTAGTTCAGTTCTAGTTCAGTTCTAGTTCAGTTCTAGTTCAGTTCTAGTTCAGTTCTAGTTCAGTTCTAGTTCTAGTTCAGTTCTAGTTCAGTTCTAGTTCAGTTCTAGTTCAGTTCTAGTTCAGTTCTAGTTCAGTTCTAGTTCAGTTCTAGTTCAGTTCTAGTTCAGTTCTAGTTCAGTTCTAGTTCAGTTTAGTTCAGTTCTAGTTCAGTTCTAGTTCAGTTCTAGTTCAGTTCTAGTTCAATTCTAGTTCAGTTCTAGTTCAGTTCAGTTCTAGTTCAGTTCTAGTTCAGTTCTAGTTCAGTTCTAGTTCAGTTCTAATTCAGTTCTAGTTCAGTTCTAGTTCAGTTCTAGTTCAGTTCTAGTTCAGTTCTAGTTCAGTTCTAGTTCAGTTCTAGTTCAGTTCTAGTTCAGTTCAGTTCTAGTTCAGTTCTAGTTCAGTTCTAGTTCAGTTCTAGTTCAGTTCTGGTTCAGAATTCCAGAACATGTTTTTAAAATAATAATGAAGCTTGTTTCAAGTTCATATTAATCTTCTAAAGAGCAGAACAGAAGTGCCCTGGAAATGTCTGAATTTATCATGAACTTGTTTAATGAGATAAGATGTTGCATAAATATCGTAGGAATTACTTGTCGAAGCTTCAATCCTAGATATTCATAAGAAGGATATACACAAATAATCGCTATCAACAGATGATTCTCTAACTCTCTCTATGAAATGGTTCCATTGTGAACAGTGTAAGTTAGAACTTTATTAAAGCTCTGCTCTAGTGATCAACGAAGCTATAACGTATTCGAATAATGCGATTATCTATTAGATATATGACCCTTCAATAGCTAGAAATTATAACTTAATAATTAAAATTCAACTACTTGCTTAACTGAAAATATTGTCCCCTTTTTCAAGTATAATTTCTCAGAACTGTCAGTTTAAAGTTTTACATAAAGTAAAACGTCTCCTTAAAATACCAAATTAAATTTTTAATGTTTCTTTGTAAAAAACTATAAACTTTTTATATAATCTTAAGATCTGCAATTGTTATTTGCCGGTTCAGGTTTTGAAAAAAAAAAAATACAAAATAAAACATTTTGTTTTAACCACCGTCTTTAACTGACGCACTTTTGTTTATTTTTATGGAATTTTTATAATATAAGTATTTTTTTAAATCAAAAAAAAAAAAAAAAAAAAAATATGTTCTCACAGAGCGGGTAATAAATAAGTTTATTATCCAAAAAAAAGAGCAATATGTAATAAAATAAAAATTAATTTACTCTAATTTTCATCATCAACATCACCGTTGTCGTTTAGATACTCACGACATCGTAATGAGATTTAATCATGCTCCAACTCGAGGATACGAAGTGGATGTGGGCAGTAAAACCACCATACGTGTGGTGAATTCTCAAGTAAGTTTTCGTTTGTTTTCATGTATTCACCTGTGGTTTCACTACATGAATACGTAGTACAAACGGCTCGAGCTAAAAACGCAATTTATTTTATGATTTTTCTTATTTAAACATTTTTATATGATTTTGATTTGTTTCAGTTTTTATTTAATTTTATTTCACATTTACTTTATTACTTACTTGTTGTACATATTTTTTTCATAATAATTTTTTGTTGTTTGTTTCCATTCAATCTCTTTGTATTCATTTCAGTGCATTTTGCTTTTTTTCAGTTGTTTTTTCGATGATGTATTGTCATCATTGTTTGAATTTTTTATAACAGCTCTAAAAATAACAAGATTTATATTTGACTTCCTTTTAGGTTGTCACGAAGCCTGAATTCGATTTTACACATGCACCCATTTTTCAAAATGTCACTATTGCTGCTTGGGACCCCGGCAAATATAATGGTTCACTAGAGGATTGGTTGACTACGTCCGATTATGATTTATTTACGAATTATGAAATGTATCGTCGTCGCTATCCCAAGTCACGTGCCTTTTTAATTGATCCTCATTCGATTTGGCGTTTGTGGCAGAGTTTGCAAATGTTTGCTAATAATAGACCGATACGAAAGAATCCGCCAAGTTCGGGTTTTATTGGTAAGTTGATTAGTTAAACATATTCGGAAATCTACCTGTAACAGGGATTCAGTCATTTATTTGTTCAGAATAGAGTAAACTTGATTCGAACAGAACATAGTCGATTTGAGTCGACAATATTACACTTAATATAAGAATAGAATATATTTATGTCGATTAATATGAAATCGGCTATTTCAGTTGATCAGAAGTGTGGAGTGAATCCAATGAATTCGAACTAAACTAGGACTGAACTAGAACTGAACTAGAACTGAACTAGAACTGAACTAGAACTGAACTAGAACTGAACTAGAACTGAACTAGAACTGAACTAGAACTGAACTAGAACTGAACTAGAACTGAACTAGAACTGAACTAGAACTGAACTAGAACTGAACTAGAACTGAACTAGAACTGAACTAGAACTGAACTAGAACTGAACTAGAACTGAACTAGAACTGAACTAGAACTGACTAGAACTGAACTAGAACTGAGCTAGAACTGAACCAGAACTGAACTAGAACTGAACTAGAACTGAACTAGAACTGAACTAGAACTGAACTAGAATTGAACTAGAACTGAACTAGATCTGAACTAGAACTGAACTAGAACTGAACTAGAACTGAACTAGAACTGAACTAGAACTGAACTAGAACTGAACTAGAACTGAACTAGAACTGAACTAGAACTGAACTAGAACTGAACTAGAACTGAACTAGAACTGAACTAGAACTGAACTAGAACTGAACTAGAACTGAACTAGAACTGAACTAGAACTGAACTAGAACTGAACTAGAACTGAACTAGAACTGAACTAGAACTGAACTAGAACTTAACTAGAACTGAACTAGAACTGAACTAGAACTGAACTAGAACTGAACAAGAACTGAACTAGAACTGAACTAGAACTGAACTAGAACTGAACTAGAACTAGAACTGGACTACAACTGAACTAGAACTGAACTAGAACTAGAACTGGACTACAACTGAACTAGAACTGAACTAGAACTAGAACTGGACTACAACTGAACTAGAACTGAACTAGATCAAATTTTTATCGTTGTTATTTATCTAGAGCAGTGATTTGATCAGAACAGAGCCAACGTTCAACAAGAGCAGATTCGACTTCAATTTGACCCATTATAAATGGTGTGAAACTGAACTCAGCCTTTTTGGGTCGATGAGATTAGATTTGAATATGATGGAATTATGTAAACAGAATAGAGAGGACTTAATTTAATTGGAAAAAAGTTCTATTTGGCCAGAATGCGGTACACTAGAATACAGTCTTCAAGAATAGAGTCCACTAGAACATTGTCCTATTATCGAAAACCAATTTCAGGTCCTAATCTTACAATTTATGTATAATAATAACACACAAATAAATTAAGTAAATTTGTAATTTAAATTATTTACTAAGCAACAGTTTTTTTTACTGCAGGTCTTGCTCTACTTCTACCTCATTGTCCTGTCGTTGATTTCATAGAATACATTCCGTCGACACGTCTAAATGGTCGCTGTCATTACTACAGCAAAGAGGTGGGTGCACACAACATCAATCATTTTCAGCTCACAGAATTTACCAACAGCAACACAAGTATCATTACGAAGGCAATTAAAGGGAAATTGAAATAAGATACTTTAATGTGAAGCCTGTGAGAGCTGTTGAGAGCAATGACAACTACTGCATTCTATTAAATAAAATTTAAAATTTTTCTTACATTTTCTTTTTTACTTTCTTACTATTTTGTTACTTTCTGCAGATAAATTCCGCTTGCACCTTTGGAGCCTGGCATCCGTTGGCTGCTGAAAAATTAATGGCATTGGATATGAATGTAGCCGATGACATGTCCGTTTTTCAATTTGGCATCTTACGTATACGACGACCCAACAAACTATTATGTGGATTTAATTTTTTGGGCTATTAAAAGGACACTGATCCACTCAACCACAATGACACTTAAATTAAAAGCAATAAGGATAAAGGGAAATTAATTAATTTGAATTTGAATTTGAACAGTTATTAAAACTTCCATAAAAGATTTGTGCATTGATTTCCGGTTTCTATAGTGATCAATAATTATTTTTTATTTTAATTTCCTGTGATTTAAATCCATCTCTCCAATATACATAGTCATTATAAAACAATCAATTTTTATTTATTTACACGATTGAATTACAATAAAATTGTAGCTGTTATTGTTTTTTTTGTTTTTGTTCTTAAATCCATTTCAATCATTTCAATAAAAAACGGCAACTGCTGCAATAACAAACGTATTTACTTGCAACAAACCATAGAATGCAGAAAAATTAAACATTTGTACGTTAAAATATTACGGAAATATTTTTTGAAACAATAAAACAAAAAAATTTGCAATAAAAACAAAAACAAAAAGAACAGAAATCATTTATTTATTTATTGTTTTGTTATTTTTATTAGCAGGGATACTTTGATTGTAATTTCATTGTTGTGCAAAAAAAGGAAAAACTCTTTTTTATTCTTTACGTGAGTTTTATATTCAACTTCAGAACAATGAGCAATATATTAGTTTTATCATTCTGTTTGTAACACATTCAAATAACAGTTGTGGCTCCTCCTGAACTAGAACTGAACTAGAACTGAACTAGAACTGAACTAGAACTGAACTAGAACTGAACTAGAACTGAACTAGAACTGCACGAACTGAACTAGAACTGAACTAGAACTGAACTAGAACTGAACTAGAACTGAACTAGAACTGAACTAGAACTGAACTAGAACTGAACTAGAACTGAACTAGAACTGAACTAGAACTGAACTAGAACTGCACTAGAACTGAACTACTAGAACTGAACTAGAACTGAACTAGAACTGAACTAGAACTGAACTAGAACTGAACTAGAACTGAACTAGAACTGAACTAGAACTGAACTAGAACTGAACTAGAACTGAACTAGAAACTGAACTAGAACTGAACTAGAACTGAACTAGACTGAACTAGAACTGAACTGAACTAAGAACTGAACTAAATGAACTAGACTGAACTAGAACTGAACTAGAACTGAACTAGAAATGAACTAGAACTAGAACAAACTGAGAACTAGAACTGAAACTAGAACTGGAACTAGAACTGAACTAGAACTGAACTAGAACTGAACTAGAACTGAACTAGAACTGAACTCGAAACTAGAACTTAGAACTAGAACTGAACTATTAGAACTGAAACTAGAACTGAACTAGAACTGAACTAGAAACTGAACTAGAACTGAACTAGAACTGAACTAGAACTGAACTAGACTGAACTAGAACTGACTAGAACTGAACTAGAACTGAACTAGAACCTGAACTAGAACTGAACTAGAACTGAACTAGAACTGAACTAGAACTGAACTAGAACTGAACTAGAACTGAACTAACGGAACTAGAACTGACTAGAACTGAACTAGAACTGAACTAGAACTGAACTAGAACTGAACTATAACTAACTGAACTGAACTGAACTGAACTAGAACTGAACTAGAACTGAACTAGAACTGAACTAGAACTGACTAGACTGACTAGAACTGAACTAGAACTGAACTAGAACTGAACTAGAACTGAACTAGAACTGAACTAGATAACTAGAACTGAACTGGAACTGAACTACAACTGAACTAGAACTGAGCTAGAACTGAACTAGAACTGAACCAGAACTAGAACTGACCTAGAACTAGAACTGAACCAGAACTGAACTAAACTGAACTGATGTACTAACCACGCTGGTTTACAATAACTACTTAAATAAGTACATACAAATAGGTCGTTAATAAGTTAATTTGTCATTATAAAAGTACATAATACAGAGTGTAACTACAAAACATTATCGAGTTTTTACTGGTCAATTCCCCATAAAAGGCCCCTCATCGGAAAATCTTAATGCTTAATATCGATAAATGACAAATTTTGATGTTGAGTACATAAGATTCGTCGTAGCCCGAGTGTAATAATCTTACATGTTATCTTTTCTGCTCGCCTCTGGTTGCGTGTGTCAGATCTTGAGACAGACACACATTCATAAATGAGCAGTACACTACGCCAGGCAGTCAAATTGGCAGCAGCAGGTGCAGTTTATGGCGTTCGCTTGGCTTTAATATTTCTTTAAAACAATTGAATTGAAGATGAGAAATCGAATTATTCATGGCAGGGATAAGAACAATACAAAAAAAATAATAAAATACATACTCATCAATATGATTCAATTGAAATTCCTTTGAAATTATTATTATTGTTATTTGCAGTTTTATTTTATAAATATGGCAGGTGAAGTTCAAGTTCATTTCTGGATAATTGTTTAAACTAGGATAAATATGTATGTTTTGAAAGGTTTTTATGAGCATAGAGAAATAATTACGAAATATGTATGTTAAAAATATTAATTATATGTTAGTTTGTTTGCAATCAATGAACTATATTAATGGAATCAAATTTCGAATGTGTTTTCCAGGTGTCCTCCTGGAATTTTTGTGAAATTTTCGGGAAAAGAGATTTCTTGCATATAAAACTTGTGATCTCGTATCAAAAGATTGAAAATTGATGGAATAATCTGAACACATCTAGAGGAGCCGACGGGTCATGTTAATGGAATTATCTTTCAATGAAAAATGCACGAAATAGTAATAAGTGGGCACTGGCAGATTCCGAGACATGAATGTCGGTTTAGGCTCCTTTTCAACGAATTTTGTCGCTGTTGCAATGACAGGATTAAAGAGGAAACGATATTGTACTTTCTTTGCAAATATCCTGACCTAGCTGTCAGGAGAAATATATTACAACATTAGTGAATTATCTGAGTTTAGACTAATTGACCTATTGTGATATATCACTGGTACCGGCTGGATTTTATACCACACTCGTATAAATTACGATAGATCGTATCGATCAGTTGAAGTAGTATATAAAAACAGAGTTCTTACGATGATATATTACAGTTTGCGCTCAGTAAACTGTTACAATAACTAACCAACCAAATTAATTAATGAAAGAAAGGGGATAGAGTCAAATGTACTCTGATTGTAGTCATACTTTGCAATGTTATTTCCGGCCTTTTCCTCTGGATTCTATTCTGTTTTCACAGACAGAAGAACGGATAGACAGATATGTCCAGATCGTCTAAGAATTTTGCAAGGACTTGGAGATATTTATATTTTATGTCTGAGTATTCCACAGTATTGTACTGGAACCCTTGAGTAATTTTTATGATGTGGGATCTTAGTCATATATGTAAATCGCTAGAATCTTTCCTTCAATTTGTGTATCAATTTGAAAGGACCCGGCCCGTCAAACGATTACGACCTTAATAGTTCCAGATTTACTTTTGTTTACCACAATAGGAAGCGAACTTCATATATGACTTTCATATTTTGACACGGAAGTCAAAAAAAGATGTAAGACCAAGAATTGGAGGCCTTACTCCATTAAGATTGTTGTCAAATTAAAGAGGAACTTGCAAAGCTATTGGAAGCTACACAAGCAGTAATTTTAAAACATCAGTGATGCGCAAGATTCATCTTAAAGCTATAGTTGATATGGTTTTTGCATCAAATCGTTACTTGCGATAAAAAAAAATGGATCTATTACGATCGTACTTATATAGCTAAATATAAATACATGGATCTGAGGTATTTCGGCCACATGCCACAATACCTGTTAAAAACTACATATTTAGAAAGAAGTGGTTGGGATGTTTAGCTTATAGTTTAGACATTACCCCCGTCCAATAAAATTTGTTTCGATTGATACAGAACGCATTCTCTGCGAAAAGCTTCACTTAAGAACAGGGTATCCGAAATGGGCATGATTCTTTCTTGATGAGCCATTCTTACGACGTGACATCCACATATAGCCATAGCTAATCATAAAAGCTAAAAATTTTAACAGATTCCTCACTTTTAAGTTATATACGACCTACTCTCTCTGAGGTATCCTTTAGTCTTCCTATTTATCTATGTAAATAAGAGTGGATTCAGAATCCATCACTAAGATACTTCTTAAGTAATTTAATTCCGAAAGTGTTCTATCCTAATCGATTTTTATCTATTTCCACAGTATCTTTGAGTTACTGCGATTTCCCATTTTAAAGGAGTTTGATTTCCCGAAATATAAAAGCTTAAAATCTTTTAGAATATCTCTATCCTTTAAGATATTTAAAATTTATTGTTATTGTTTTTATAATTGAAACTTAAAATTTGATAATTTTTTTTTTTTTTCTAAAACAAAAGATTTTTTTCCTAAAATGTCAATGACACTTTCATTTAATTACCTTAAATAATGCATTGTTTAGTTAATAATTAAAAACAAAACAAAAATATTTTATTTTTTTTATAAAAGAAATTATTTTGGAAGTTTGTTGTTTTTTATTAAATAAAATATTTCGGGACTCTTATTGTTTGTTTTTTGTTTATCAACCAAACACATCGTCGTCCAATGACCACAAAACGTGATCGTAATATAAATTGTAAAAGTAACTTTTTCCAAAATATTTGTATTATTTTCTTCAAAGATTTGTTTAACATTTTGACATTTCATCACGCGATTTGTTATTAAAATGATTCACTTTAAATGTCTAATAAGAATTATTTGAGTAAATATTTTGCAAATAATTCTTAACTCAACATTTTATGGTTGTGTTTCTGTTTTGTTTTTGGAAGATTTGAACAATCAGAAAAGGATTACTGTATATGGAAATATTTGACAGTTAAAATGACAAATGTTTTTCTAAATATAAATTAACGATTATTTATGTCAACTTGTTGTTGCGAATGATTTATTTGAGTAGAACGTTATTTTTTTATATTGAAATATTTTTATTTCAATAAAAAAAGTACATTTTCAAAGAAATTAATAGATGAAAGCTTTAAGGTATAAATATGCGATAACATTGCATATATATTTAGCATAATTGGTCATCATAATTTCGTCACAAAAATATTTTTTTTTAAAGGGGAATTTATTATTTTGGGTTTTTATGAGGGCTTTTGTGTAAATTTAAGAAATTTTTTTTATGCATATCAGTGATAAAAAAGTATTGGGTAACCAATATGAGTGATAGGAAAATATAATTTCTTCCTTTTAAATTAATCATTCTTATATAAAGTAATTTTGCGTTTCTTCGGAAGACATAATTTCCATCTCTGCCCGATGCACATCAAAATGTTTTTTTTTTTTTTTTTTTTTTTGATTATTTAGTTTGATGCCAAAACGCCAGGGTATCCCACGTTGGTTAAAGGAAATCCTCCAAGTCGACCTATATCTTCACATAGAAAGCTGGAAACCTTTAACCACTTTAGAAAAATTTGAGTTTTTAATGTACTACACCCGTAAAATTAAAGAGTTTTAATGGCCTCCACCAGGATATAAACGTTTGAGTA